TATAATAGAGAAATTCTTTTAGCTCACTTGCTTATGCTTTAATCAAAAGAGCTAGGCAGTTGGCGAAAGTTTTAAATTATGCCAGAAAAGTTCAAGTTGTATAGGTCTCTTTAATTTCACTCTAATCACCTCCAAGACTATATTTATTAAGAAAAATATACAAAGAAAGAACGGATAACGGATTTTCATTATATGCCCTAATCGAAGCTAAGCGTATGTTTATGAGTCCCAGCATCCACTTTCCATAAGGTGGTCTATGTGTTCGTATGTCGCCCTTACATTAGTAAAAAAAATACGCGGAAAACATGAATTCGTTGGCATCATTATCATTACAGCCATCACATATCCACCACCAAACTCATGCGTCACCCAAAGATTATCACAAGACACGATCATGAGCCACCAGTATCCATTGAAGTCCAACCATTCGTCTCTTTCTTTGCACTGCACCGTATAAAGCTCTCTCGAAAAATCTCTCTCCTCTCTTGGTTGTCCATAATTTTAAGGCATACAAAGGTGCTTAAACTAACTGCTATAGAAAAAAGTATGTAATCTTCGTTGAAATGCTTTAGTTAAGTTTAGTTAAGTTACAATCTTAAATAATATCGCATTACAGTCTTTTAATAAATAAAAAAGCTACAGACTATATACGTCCCACTACTGGGTACAGGCCTCCTCTCATTTCTGATAGGGTTTTAGTGCAAGGAATAGTTTGCCGCGCTGCCGCAATGCGTGTTGGTGAACTTCACATGTCTTCGACTTTTTTTACTTATCTCTTAGACATGCACGTTTCCTCACGATGTTTTCTTTCACCGACGAGCACGTGTTAAATTACCACTTAAAATTTAATTTATATCGATGGGGTTCGAGCCCGGGTTGTTGGCGTGCTATGAAATTTACACAAGCCCTTTGCCCCTGAGCTATGGCCTTAATAATAATAAATCATAAGTAGTATAAAGTTTAAGCAGAAGCAAAAGAGCTTACCGTGTTTCTTAGATGCCTTGATATCAACGAAGCAGTAATTATAGCCGATTCCAATGCCGATGCTCAACGTTGTTGCAATCGTTAAAACAAGGCACGACAACACTAATAAAAGGGCTAAGCATCCAAATATCCTGTAAGGTTAAGTTATAGTAAATTTAGTAATGTTAAGTTCGAATGCATGGTAAGTCAACAACGAAAGTATGTAGACTGCCGAAAGTCTAGTTGTCCGATGGAAAGAAGAGAGAGTAATTAATTTATGCAATTCCTGCGCACACTCTCCGAAATGCATCCATAGCTTTCCTACAAAGGCCATTTAGTTAATTTTCAATCGCTTTATAAAGCTGAACTACAATTTGACTGAACTATTTAAACAACTTTCAAACGCGTTGACACTCGCAAGTATGCTATCTATGTTACAAGCATGAGCTACAAGCGAATTTCATCGACATCCGCGGATAATAAAGATGCATATTCGAATAAGATTTTTGTGCTTTCTATTTCATATTTTTGAAGCTTAGAAATATTCCAAATAATACCGTTTACGCTGTACCTTTCTGTGATAAACACTAGATTAGTGAAATTTCTTCCAAATGCTTCACACATTATAGTTTGACCAATTAAAATGCAAAGCAACAGCTAATACGAAGCAGAAGGCATAAAATATTATGTTTATGAATCACATCACCATATTTCTTCTCATATTTCAGTATCAATGAATCATTGACATAATTCGAAAACAATAGAATAATAAGCAAGAAACAAAAGAAGATTGACAAGACAATATAGAAAATATGATAACCCACATAACCCATAGACTTAGAAGATATTGGAGTATAAAACAATGTATTATATATCATTTGCATGATCGTTGCTAAAACGTATTGGTTGTATACTCTTTGATCATTTGATCATTCGTGACGCTTTATTTACCACATCAAGCATTCAAGCGTAAAACACAGCTTTATCTTACTTTACAGGTTCATGTGCTAATTTTTTATATATATAATATATATACGACAAACGTACGTACAGTCCACCGAATGGTAAGTGGCTACTGTAGACCACAGACTACTAAGAGGATACTACGCATCTGTAGACCCAGGAAAACCTGCAGCCAACTTCACTCTCTATATCCTTTAGACCGGAATACTGCAGTGAAAACTAACTAAAGTCGCAAAATTTAATGAGAGCACTTTTTAATGTATGTACTTATTCCCTGAACTTTTACAGGTGAAATAATTTTTTACATGTGCTTTACCCAAAAAGATTTAAAGTCGTAGTGATTTAAATATCTTTGTCAATACTTACCCTGAATTAAAAAAGTTAACGTTACAGCCTATATATCCCACTACTGGGCACAGGCCTCTCCTCATTTCTGAGTGGGTTTTAAGGTATAAGTTAGTGTCCGATGCGTTGCCCCAATGCGTATTGGCGAACTTCACATGTCTTCCCCAGGTTGCTAGCGTATATTTGCGTTATATTAGTATATAGTTGTAGCACGAATGGGTCGGCTCGACCGGGAAAGGACCACGCTCTTACAGAATACCAGCGTCAAATAGTAGCGTAATGCTACTGTGTTTCGTATGGCGAGTGTAGAGAACCGGAGACCCTTTTTACTGGAAACGAGGAATTCCACCTAAGTCCTCACGGATGACAACGCATCTGCATTTTGATTCGTAATCGAGGATAGTTGTAGATGTCTATGGGCCTCAGAACCCACTTACCATCAGGTGGACTGTGTGCTCGTTTGTCATTTTATCCTATAAAAAAAATCTACAGCCAGGGCATTACCGTCTGAGCTACCCCGGCTCCTGAAATACCTCACCATTAAATAAAAACAAAATCAACGTATTATTATGAAGCATGGAGCATGGCGTACCATTACAATACGTCATCCACTGGCGGCTGGTTAACCTACCATGACCCTATCTACATCTGTCTAGTGTGTAACATGTTTATGTAACACACTTAATAGGAAAAGACAAAAAGACAAATTTTGTCTTATGTTTTTACTTATTGTGATATACCAGTGATTGACTACGATTCCACTTGCTAATAAGTAATGATGAAGCCTTACAAAGCTAAATCGCACTGTTTTATTGTAACAAAATCCTATTCACTCTTGCCTTGAATTGTAGTGTTACCTTTTTTTATAAATTAGTACCCGGTTGACCGAGCTTTGCTCGGTATTTTTCGCTCGATTTTTTTTTAATTCGTGTGTTTTGGAAATTATATTTAGATACAAATTACATACTGATGAAATACGAATAATTTTTTTTTGATCGTAGCGACATAATAGAAAAAACTGAACTGGTTATTTGAATAAAAAATCATGAATGTAATTAGTTTAATTTAAATTTTCGTGTTTTTGAAAAATACTAAAAAAAGGGCACGAAAAAATAGATTTTCTCAAAAAAAGAAAGGAACTTGAAAAAAAAAATTAAAAAAAGTCGATCGGTCGGTCTGAACCATGGTATTACGGTTTTGTGACCGCCCAATATACCAATTATGCTATTTGTAACCATTAATAGACTATCAAAATTTACCTTCTTATTATAACGATATTGAAGCAGTTTTTTATTGCCTAAAAACACGGACAAAAAGACATTTTCTAAAAATAAATCCTAGGTAGATCGATTTATTGCCCCCGAAACTCCCTGCACACAAAATTTTATGAAAATCGTTGGAGCCGTTTCCGAGATTCCTATATTATATATATATATATATATATATATATAACTCCCGGAGCCCTCCAGTAAAGTACTGAGGGGGGTTCAAAGAGAGGTAGAACCAGATTGGACTCAGACAGTCACCCTGGAATATACCCCTTCTTATCCTTATGCGGCTTTTCGCAGCCGTCATCCACTCGCCTAGGTGACAGAGGATCGCACTCCACTGCCCCATACACTGCCCCATACACTGCCCCATACACTGCCCTTTTTGATAATAGAACGGAATGATAGACGCTGGCAAATTATTCCACTGCTTTGGTATACGCATAACGAAAGACGAACCAAATACTAAATAATATTGATGTTAATATTTTTTTTACGTGTTAGAGTCATGCTGCAGCTATATTGTGGTTGCAAAACGAATGGGTCGGCTCGACCGTGTTGGGTTAACGCTCTCCCAGAATACCAGCGTAAAATAGCAGCTTAATGCTGCTGTGTTTCGTATAATGAGTAGAGGGAATCGGAGACCCTTTTTACAGGAAACGAGGCATTCCATCTCAGTCCTCAAGGCTGACAACGCATCTGTATTTTGATTCTTAATTGAAGGTAAATGTAGATGTATATGGGGCGCAGAATCCATTTACCATCGGGTACAAGCACACAGTCATTAAAAAAATGTTGTGTAGTAACGGCGTAACAAAATTAGAATATCCTCTACCATATATCATTCCGTGGGTGTTGTTACAGGTGACATGGGAATACTAAATATGGGATAGAGGATGCGTAGCAGCATCCCACTGATAGCCACTCAAAATAATAAAACACTGTGGATGCGCGGCCTTTCAGGCAAATACATTCAAAGCCAGATCTATTTGGGAGGCCCATAGAATACTATAATTATATATGTATTATATGGGGAGGCCTATGTCCAACAAAGGACTTTTTAATAAGCTGTATTAAATAAATGAATGCAAAATATTTTCGTATGAATAAATTTACTGTAGGTTGAGGAAACTTCAAAAAGAATTTGGCTTTGACTAGGTTTATAAAATCTTTTTACGACCCTCATTTGCAAATATAGGTTCAACACAGCAAATTTTACATTAAAATATTTTCTTCAACAAAGCGTTATATTATGTTTTCATATTCAATACATGGCAATGAAAAACCCGACAATTATTGTAATAAAAAATACGTCACTTCGAAAAATGTCTCTGTCTTGAATGTAAAGATTCTGATATTTTTTAAGTATTTTTGATTTATTTATTTTTGATACTTTTTATTTTTTGTGTAATTATTTTATACCACGATATACGATGGGTTGCGGTTGTTCTAGAGCTGGAAATGCAATCGCCAACTATATTTTTATGTTCGAGAGGTTAGTTAAAATTGATATAATTGGTTGACGCTGTTGGTTCAAAATACGATACTGCCCATCGCGGTCTAGATGTTGAGATGGTTTTTCGACAGCATAGATACTAAAAAAATACAATCGTGATGTAAAACTGAAAACGTGTGAAGCACGCTAGATCCTACTACCATTTTGTTATAGTAGTAGGATCTAGCGTGCTTCACATTTGTCATACGCGATATGCACAAATACGCATCCTACCGCGCGCTGCTTAGGTATACATAGTGCATACAACCTATTTACTAATCTGTGATACAACTTACTACAATTATCGGGTTTACGTGCCACACTGCAGTTATGCAGAATGAATGGATCAGTGTTGTTAATGGGTCTTGTCCTACCCTGGCAACTCTCTAATCTCTAGCAGAATAATGCCACTGTGTTTCGTATGGTGAGTGTAGAGAACCGAGACCCTTTTTGCTGGTAATGAGGCTTTCCATCTAAATTTTCAGGGTTATATAAATAGACCATAGCATCTACTTACCATCTCATGTGAACTATGTGCACATTTGTCACCTTTATTCTATTTAAATAGAAACCTTGTTACATTTGCATATGTTTTTTAGGAACTAGTGTGCTTCACACATTTTCAATGTTCGACGTATGTATTTTAGTAACATTTTTAATACATAGCATTGGGTGACAAACTAGCATACAGACCATCTGAAGGTAAGTGGATGCTGTGGCCCATAGACATCCAAATTTTTCCTCAACTAAGGATCAAAATGCAAATGCGTTGCCACCCCTGAGGGCTAAGATGGAATGCCTTGATTCCAGTAAAAAGGTCTCCATTTATCTACACTCACCATACGAAACACAGTAGCATTACACTGCTACTTTAAGCTGGTATTCACTGAGAGCATGGTCCTACTCCGGTCGAGCAAACACATTCGTGCTACAACTATAATATAGCTGCAGAGTGGCGCTACCACGTAAAAACTAAAATTCGGAAGTCAATTTTTATGGCATCAGGTAGATATTTTATTGACTGCTACATTACACAATTAAAAGGATGTATCTGAGGAATATTAATTTTATAATTATTTTTTGTGAGCTCACTAAACATTTACCCAACGTCTAATATAAACTTCGTCTAGGTACGATTTTAATTAATGCCATGTTTCCTCGAATAGCAAAACTAAACTTCTAACTTCTAGCGTGTTTATGTTATAACCTTATTATTCAACCAATAGATGTTATATTTACTAAAAGTCAATCTATAAAATTACAATAAATGTTATAGTGACTTCCTCGTTGGACTAACGCTGTAAGCGTGCTTGCTGATTACGAGGTCCCGGGCTCGAATCCCGGGTGACATCAAAAACAATGATTTAGTTTTCCTTCAAGATATTCTGAGTAGCAGGTCGAAGTTATGAAGTTAGTGATTTTTCAATCCGTAACTCGGAAGCACGGAAAGTGTCGGATTGCCGTGTCATCAGACTATGAGAGTAGGAGCATAGAAAGCGCAACTGTGCTTGTGCTCACTCGTACATATGTAGCATCCATTTGACCAAAATTCAGTCTGAAAAGGACATTTACGTTCATTTTCTCACAACACAAAATCTAAGTCTACGCAGTGTGCGCCTATTATACAAAAAATAGAATAGAAATAGAAAAACTGTTATAAACATTCTCTATATATCATAATTTAGTGCCTTTAGAGGAATAGGTACTTCGTAAAGTATTTAGTACTGCAGTTTCCATATTCAATATAAAACATATTTTAAGCGTAATTCCACCTTTGCGCGTTTCCTATTGACGAGACGATATTGATTGAAACAAAGCAAAGTTTGGAATAATTCCATGAACTTTACAGATTTGGCACGTGTATAGCGCTCACATTAATCGTCTCTTGCATGATGATAACGACGGTGGCGATGTTATCACTGGGCATCGGCCTAGGTTACAACTACTGCTTTGTGGACTTCAAAGTGAAAAAACTTTTTGGTATTTAAAACATTTACTAAAGTAGACTTAATGTTTTTATAGTATAAAAGTGAAAAACGAGCACATAGTCCGCCTGATGGTAAGTAGATACTGTGGCCCATAGACATTTACATTTATCCTCAATTACGAATCAAAATGCATGCATGGTCTCGTTATTTACTCTCGTCATACGAAACTACAGCTGCGTTGAACTGCTAGTGGTCCTTCCCCGGTCGAGCCGACTCATTCGTGTTGCAACAATACTACTAATATAGGTGCTGCATGACTACCACGTCTAGGATACTACTAGATAATACTACTACGTAGGTAGGTAGACCGTGACCGTATTATAGTTAAATTTCTATTAATACGGTTACGAACCACTTTAATATTACTGTTTTCGGTATATAGCTGTATTCCTAGGAATATAACTATATCACGGCTCTATCCATCATACTCGACATATATAAAGATAAACATAATTTAAGTAAGTACTATTTGCTTGTAGTTATTTTTTTACTTAATACTTACTTAATTCTTAAACTCAAGACCAAACTCTAAAATCGCTTCAGAAGTGTGTATGAACATGAAACGATATATTTAAGAATCAATGTCACCCCTGGAGACAAAGATGGAATGGAATAAACATTCTAATGGATATTTTGAATTGTAATGTTCCTTAGTTTCTAGTTTTCGTATTTTTACTTGGGGTGAACGCAAGTTAGTGAAACACTCAAAAGGGCAAAATAATTAAGCTTTTGATAAACTTCTGAATGAACCTTTTATAAAATGTACAAACAAACTTCAAAACTGAAAAGGGGCTTTACGCTTCGATGTCCTATGTTTATGTATGTACATATGTATTTAAGTAACGGCCTCAGAAGCTATTATGCGAAAATTATAAATTTTAGATTGTTGTAATTTCAATTAAAATTTAAATAGATCATTAGTAACATTTTGTTTTCTTTGATCAGCTATATTAATAATATAATGTCCTCCAGACCGAATTTCCGTCACGGCGGCCAGCCTCTACGGAGGTCAGCCATCGGCGCAGGACAGGATTATAGTGCCCAAGTGTATGCGCAAGCTCAGGTGCACTCTCTATTCTCTCACTCTCATAATCCGATGGGACGGTAAACCGACACGATCGGAGAGAGATCAGGCGCAGGACCAACGGCTTTACGCGCTTTCCGAGGCACGGGGGTGACACATCGCCAACTTCCTGACTCCGTGCAGCTACTAAGAATTTTTTGACGGAAAAACTCAATAATTGATTTTTGGCCCGACCCGGAATTCGAACCCAGGACCGCAGCAGTCGCACTAATACAACCACTAGACAAACGAGGCAGTCATTAATAATATAAACAGTATATTACTATATTATATAAAAATATACAAAATCTGACTAATGACAAGTTTAAAAGCTTTACTAAACAAAACTGACGCTGGGTTATTTGCTGCTTCGGAAATACCTCTGTCCTATGACGACCCAGGTCAGAGGTATTTAATAAGTATTATTTTATAATTTGTGTTGAATAAAATAGTTTTTATTTCTATAACTAGTAACTTCGTATCTAATATATAACAATATGACTATTACAAAACAATAGCTCTCATAATAGATTATAGTAAACCACCACTAAACTACCAAATATTATACAGTTGTTGTATATAATATATGTTATATTTTAACAGATAACAAAAACCCTAGAAGAAGTGATTCTCTGGTGAGGAAGAGAAAATCTATTGAAACCGAAACAAACGCTACAGACGACTTTGAAGAAGAAGACTTCAACATACAGCCGACTATGATAATTCCCTTGAAAAGTAACATCAGCTTTTCCCTTCTAATATCCAGGATAAAGGACTTAAATAGAAACGTCACTTTAGAACTACTTGCAACTTGACACTTTATTTATATCGTGATATAATTTAAGTAATTTTTATAGCCTTGAGCGATTTATTTTTTGATCTATTGCTTTGTTTTTGTATTTTTTTCTACATTTTTTTGTTTTATTCATATACATATACTACTTTATACATGAAATATATTTACATTTTAGTTGTTCCTGGTTTAATTTGTTTTTCGAATCCATAGAATACTGTAATACACAATAGAATGGCTGTCAACTTTATTTTGTACGAGGCTTGGCGTCGCCAAACCCGATTCGTTGTGTTGACAGACTGAATAAATTTACACATTTTAGACTTTTGATTAATGTTCAAGATCAGCATTAAAAAATCGTTTAAATTTTAAAACATATTTGTAAATAGGGTGCAATTTGGCATTTTCTAAATAATTTGCACGCGAAATTCGGAAACGATTGTAACGTCAAAACACATCTCGTGTTGACATTTATACGTGTGAATTGACGTGTTAGTGACATTTTAGTGGCTACGCGGGCTCCGCCCACTCCTCCGTTCTTGTGTATGTATTATAGTATTCTACGTACATATGTACATACATAAACATGGCCACGGCCAGCATAGATGTTCTAAATAGTTATGATTAGTGAAACATTAATTCGCGGGGTGAATGAAGATACTTACAATGAATCGAACGAGAAACTAGATAGGTAATTGTGAAAGTTGTGCCTGCTAGAAAGTTAAAAAGTGTATGCCACTGATAGCCAAGTCAGTTCTATATCTTTTAGCTGACTGTACCTCATAACTTACTTCCCATATTAATAGCCACCTCAACGGAGCCTGATAAGGAAGTGGTAGACTGGAAAAAAATTGACAGTATATACTCTGTCTTGATGGAAAGATTATTATGTTTCCCATCTCAGTCCTTTATCCTTCCAATCATTTAAAACCAAACCTTAAAAAACAATTGTGCTAAACAACTAATTGTTCGTTATAAAAAAAGTTAAATTCGATTTCTCTGAAAACATGGATTCTGCTTCATGCATGCTTGTAATTTCTTCACGCCCTTTTTATAGAATAAGGGTGACAAATGAGCAAACTGTCCACCTTATGGTAAGTTGATGCAGTTATCCTCAAATAAGAATCAAAATGCAGGCAACGTTATAGGCTTGGTTTCTAGTTCGAACGAGTTGCTTAAGACTTAGGACGAACTTTTGAAGTTGCATGTTTTTTTGTCGTACAACTCCCAAAAGTTCTTAGGATGCACTGACCTCTATACTCAAGTACGCTGGACTGGCTATACCATACAAAATGTCTGTACCGATTTGAAGCGCCCTCATTTTTCATACCGGAAACCAAAAGTGACATAATATGCCAATGTCTGTTGTCTTATTTAAACCGTATCTCTGTATTTTGAAATTTTAAACTAAAAAATGAAACTATTTTATGTGGTTTGATTGTGTTTAATTTTAGTTACATAATAAGAATTATTTTTAGTATATGAGTGTGCGTAATATGTAAAACTCGTTAACAAAGGGAAAGGAGTATAACATTCTTCGATAGGGTTCACGAGTTCTTTGTCTATAATACTTATCGATGTTCTTCCCTACCCATATCTGTTAACAACCAAAGTCGCGGACGCAAGATAATTATCAAATGTTTATTAATTAACAGGTTTCAAACTGAACCTAGACTAAAATTATGGCTTAAAAGCATAAAAATTGTGAACGGGCATCCGAAACAAAATGATTACCTTTTTTTTAAACATTTCATAGACGAATGTTTTATTAGACATAAAAAAACGCACTACTTTGCTAAAGTGCAGTATACCGACAATATTTTCTGATATTAATAGTACCAGTAAGTATAAAAGTGTTAGATTATTACTCGAATGTTTTTTATTTCTTCTCTTCTTATTTTCCCACAAACTGAAGAGCCATAGCCAAGTGTAGAAAGGTCGCCTGATGATGACTTAGTATTTACGTGACGTAAATTTGTTAAATCTGTTGAAATATGACCAATTTATTATATCAAGGGAATAAATTTATATTGTGACCGCAAATTTATTAATATTCTTAGTGAGTTTCCGTGAGTTTAGGTGAGAATTTGCTTCTCCCTGAACGGATTCCCGTCTTGGCGGAGGATAGTAGCCGTGGCTTGGTAACCCATGCTAAACCTAAGGGATTTTACAAGGCTGGCCCGAGGTAGCCACTCTGCGTGGGCTTGTCGAGACCTTACTGTGTGTTATCGGGCTGCTGCTTGAAAGAGTCCTCTCCCTATATCGATGCAGCCGAGGTGGAGTCGCAAGGGAAGAGGAGTGTTAGTATGGCGGTTGGCAATGCGCCACTCGACTATTCTCCGTGACATATCGGGCTCGGGGAGTCCGTTGTGCAGGTGGAGTTAGAGGCCGCGAAGGGTAGTGCGCCCTGTGTTTTTGGTGCGCCTTATTTGATAAGGAAAAGGAGGAGGAGAAGTTCACAACTAAAGAGAGGCTGCCATTGGGTGGCTGCCGCTGGTGAGGTCGCGGATGGATAAAAACATAGATAGACCAACGCAACGTCAACTTTGATTTTATATGAGGTATAGAGCTTGCGTCTAAGGCCTAGGTATTGTTTAATACTTTTATTTATTGTATAGTATTATATTAATATGATACATTAATAAAATGGACGTTACGGGTAGGCCTGGGTATAGAATTTTTATCGATATATTTGGTCACACTGTCTTATCTCTATTATTAGTTCCGTGGACGTTCACTTCTGTTATCAGCGCTAAAATGGTGAAAATCAAATCGCCTCATAATGACACTGTGTATAGCCAGTCCAATTTTGATGACTATTGGATCAATATTGGGCGTTCCTATAATAACAGCGAAGGATTATATACATAACCATTACGTTTAACAACATAACAAAATATATTATGTCTATAATATCAAAGTATGACGCTGTCATAATTGAAACATTCACTATTTTATAATTTTATGTTATTTAATACCAATTATACCATAATTGTTTCTCGATCCATTTTTACACTATGCAGAATTATAATATTCTAGAAAATGAACATCTACCGGAAATATTGAAACAGTAAGTTTTTTAATTCCTATTCCAAACAAATTCAATTCTATATTAACATAAATTGTATAATACAGCTAGATGAAATTCTCTTTCCAATTCTCAAAATTTGTCATAATTAGTTCTTAACCGGATACTTTGTTCGAGAAGATTAATGAAAAACCTTTTGATATGGGTCACGAGATTTAACTTTCGTTAACCTCAGTGGATTACGTTATTCACAAGTTACAGTGATTACATGTTTGTTTTTTTAATGTATTAATTTTTGCTCTTCTTCTTTCTATCTGTACCTATATAAAACACAAAAAATATTTCTACCTATGTCGAAGTACATTAAATGCGTATTATTAAAGATAGCTCAAAGATCTATGTCAGATCTTGATGAAATTTATATAGGACCACACCACCAAGGGAAGCACCAGCTTTTAAATAAAAAAAAGAATCATCACCTTTTAACCGTTAACCTAGAAAAAAGTTTGAGATAACACACATAAAAATAAAACATACATTTGAACGTAAATTGGGTGCGGTCCAGATTCATCAGTAGAGTTTTAATAGACTTAGTAACGTAAGTGAGCTAGGTAATGGAGACTAATTGAATAATAATACAAATATTACTATAACAAATAAAGTGATTATTAAAGAAGAATATTGACTACGTTACACTAAGATGAAATGCGACAAAACCTAATGGCTTTCCATTAGCTCCATATTGGAAAACAACAGTAGACGCAATGTTGTTAAGCGAAAGACATTGGAAGCGAGTGGTGCCTACTAGCAATCGTGTAAGAACTAATTTTTCAATGATTAGATAAAAGTTATTCTTCGGATATAACAAAACAAATTAATTTAAAAAAAGATCGTGTTACTAAAATAGTTGTTGTGTGTCTGATTATGAAACCGATACTTAATGTATCATGATGATCATAATCAGACCAACGAGCACACAGTCCACCTGATGGTAAGGGGATGCTGTGGCTCATAGAAATATAATTTATTTCATGGAAAACTTTTATCTAACTATTTCTCAATCGTCAGAGAAAAGTTATCCAATAGATAGGAAACATTCATCATCATTAGTATATAATAATAATAATAATAATAATAAATATTTATTTTATTATAATAAACATTAATTATATCTACTAGAAAGTCCCGGTGGATGTTCTGTGGAATGATCGCATTGGGCCTACTTTTGCTAATAATATCGGCGATCCTATTGGGTATTTTAATCGGCTATATGTACTGCTTCATAGAACAAAGAACAGGTATGTGAATCGAGATGACTAAGGCTCTTCTTCTTTTTTTTTCAATCCGTAACAGTCTACTACTACACGTGGGCCTCTCTTTTTTATAGAATAAGGATGGCAAACGAACACACGGTCCAACTGATGGTAAGTGCTGTGATCCATAGACATCTACATAAATCCTCAATTACGAATGAAATGCAGATTCGTTGTCACCCATGAGGACTAACACGCAATGCCTCGTTTCCAGTAAAAAGGGAATCCGGTTCTCTACACTCACTATACGAAACGCAACAGCGTTAAGCTGCTATTTTAAGCTGCTATACTGCGAGAGCGTGGTCCTTGCCCGGTCGGGGCGACTCATTCGTACTACAGCTATACTACTAATATGGCTGGAGCATGGCTCTACCACTGTAAGGAGATTTTGCAATAATTAACACGGTAGACGAACGGATCGTATAAGCAGTACAGATTAAAATACTAAGTGGTCGGATTCATTCTCTACCTAGCAGTTCAACTGGGTAGGTATCATCTTGTTACCCATTTCAGCCGTTAAATAGCAATCAATGTACTGCTGTGTTCTGTTCTGGAGGTTATAGAGAGCCACTTTAGACGCGATGTCAAACATGGGGACTAAGTACTTAGTCCTCAATGTTGATAGTTCACAACGCACATATATTATTCTTTGTTGATAGTTGGTTACAAATATCTATGGGC